ATATTCTTATACAAAGTTTCTAAAATTTTATGGTACATGTTAATAGGGCTGGGCATATATCGGATATAACTGATAGCCCGAACCGATAAAAGCTTATTGGGGTATCGATATCGGGTAATCGGGTTAATGGTTTAGTAACGGTTTTGTATTTTTTTACTATTGGGTTATCGGTTCGGGCCACGAGTTGCCTAATTTCTTAACGGGTTAACCGATAACTCAATAAGATTTAATAAAATTAGGATTTTACCCCATTTATAGGGCTCCATTCTCTCTTTTTCTCCTAATTTTCCCAGCCGCATTTAAGATTGAAGTTTCAATGTTGAAGAGTCTGATTCAATTTTTGAACAGTTCTTCTTCAAATTTAAATGTACAACCACATTCTTAGAATCTTAGCGTAAATTTGTATTCCAAAATTACTTCTTTGTTAAGAACAATTTTCATTCCTTTCTTTTGAGTTTTACAGTAGAGTTCGATAATAAAAATATAGGATTTTTGATTGTTTTTGATTCTTTATTTTGTGCTCATGTTTTAGTACTATGTTTGTACTTTTTAATTTTAAGGTGAAATTGCTACTACATTGTATTGTTATTAATGTATTTGGATTGTTGAAGAATTAACACTATTTCAGTTGTGTTTGGACAACTTTTGAATTATTGCTACCATTGGACTCTGGAAAATGATTGATCTCTTGATTATAGTTTGGTAAGAACCCAAAAAATTATAATTTATGTTCTTGATAACTAATATTTCTAGTGAAATGGAGATGGAATGCTTGTGGAGTTATAGTATCAATTTTTGAGATTGCACACGTCATGAATTTGTCAAAATAAAACATACTTCAAATATTAGTTGTGGCTAGAACGCAGAATTGGGTAGTATACTATATGTGAATTCTTTTTTTTTACTTAACTCGAGTGAATTGTCTTTTCTTTTTTTCTTAACTCTAGATTGAGTTATCTTATCGGGTAAATCGATAACCGAACCGATAATGATCGATAACCGATTAACCGATAACTGATAACTAATAACTTATCGGTTTGGTTATCGGTTTATCATATTTGTAGACCGATAACCGATATGCTAAACCGATAATATTCATAATCGAACCGGACCAAACGATGACCACCCCTACATGTTAATTGTTTGCACTTTTAGAGTGTGTTTGGTATGAAGGAAAACATTTTCCGAAAAATATTTTACAATTTTTCCATATTTGGTTGGCTTAAATGTTTTGGAAAATATTTTCTNAAAAAATTATTTTTTTTTTTGTAAGTTTTAATTTTTCTGTTTTTTCGTTTTTCTGCATCACCCAAACCACACCTCACATCCCCCCACTGCCCCCTCCGCCCCCCGAAAAAAATATTTTTTTTAAATAAATTTTCAGTTTAAGTTTTTTCATCTTTCGGTTTACAGGTTCGAAATTTTAGAAGTTCTAAACTTATGAGTTTGGAGGTCTATGTGTTTGGAAGTTTACGGGTTTAGAAATTATAAAGTTTAGCGCTTCGGAAGTTTATAAAATTTGTGTGTTCGGAAGGTTGTTGGTTCGAAAGTTTATGGCTTCGTGTTTATTGTATCTACATTATTTATGAATATTTTTGAGAAGTTATTTCCCTTAATTTGCGTACCAAACACCGAAAAATGAATAAAATTACTACTTGTTTTCCAAGAAAACATTTTCTTGAAAAATATTTTCTACGGAAAACATTTTCCGTTATACCAAACACACCCTTAATCTAGTTCTTTGCTATTATAATAATCTAGTACTTTGACTTTACATTCTAGTTTGATTGGTAGTTTTCTTTTGCTAAGTACAAGATTCTATTTCATGATAAAAATAATCTATTTTTATTTGAGTCCTTAAATTATTCATCAATATTTTATTCAATTATCATCAATATGTCTTGGTAAATGATAGATTTCTCAAAGAGCAATTGATTTGATAGTGTTAAGTTAAAAATACAGTCGTCGAAATATGTGTTTGGTAATGTATATCTCAAATTTAAGAAAAAATCGATAAAAAAACAAAAAATTAAACCGACATGAACCGAGTCAATAAAAGCTTACTTAATTAGTTTGATTTGATTCCAATATTTGAAAATTCGAGTTTCATTTCTTTTTAGGAAAAAAAAACGATCCAAATCAAACATCTATATATAAATATAAAGTTGGGAATAAAAAATGTGATGTGGCACCTTGCTATGACTAGCATTTGTATTTATCTATTTTCTCCTTTTTTTGCAATTTCTCCTTCATTATTTATCATTTGTTTGGATTTTTTAATAGTTTGCTTCTTCTGTCCTCCCGTATAATTACTCACTTATTTATTGTTGTATGCAAGTAACGGTGTTGTAGCCTGTAAGTAATGGAGGCATTGAAGAGGTGTGACTTTTGAGGGCAATGAATAGTAGCAGGAAAGGAGGAAATTCCCTAATCCAAAAGTATGGTGCTGTAATGTAACGATGGAGGCAATGAATTATAGTAGCAGTAATTGAGGAAAACAAATAGTCATTTTCTTCCTAAGACAAAATCTCTTAACACTATATATATCACTGATAACATAGAGAATGCTTAGTTCATACCAATTGAAAAACCCACACCAAATATTTTTTTCAAGCTTGCAAGTTACTTGGGACGCCCATGGAAGACATGCATGGTCTACCACGGTGTTCATGGTCGTATCACTAACTGAAGAAACAAAGCCTACAAGAAGCTACACGTCCTTAGGCCATGAAGCAACTAAATACATCGTTGGCACTTGCATGAGATACTGGTACACCTACTTTTCAACATCTCTATGTATATATGTGATTCGTCTTTATTGGAGAAGAATGTATAGTGTATTTTGAATATATGGGAAAAAATCTTTCATTTATTTTGGTTAATGTATAATGAATAGAAACACGATAGTTTAAATGGTATTTTTAATATTATTTACATATTTCATTGTCCTTCTATCTTCCTATGCTTTTTAATTGCATGTCAAAAGTCATAGAATGGCATCGAAAAATAAACAAAATAACAGCTACTATATATGTAACCACTTATTTTTTATTGGTGATTGAGATGATCATGACAAAAAAAAATTGAAAACTTAAAAGAAAAAGAAAGATAATATCAACCAGATAAAGAGTTAGCATTAATGCATAGAAAACAATTAAAAATAAATAATAACACGGTAAGGAAACTAACAGAAAAGTTTATATGCATCAAGGTGTAAGTAAATATCAATCATTAAAGTATATGCATTTGGCAAGAAAAAATAGATATTATATTGATATGTCGGAGTTACAAAAGGTGTCACATGATGAACTCAATAAAAACGATAATCGTGTAACAATAATAGTTGTGTATGTATATAACCAATATAGAATTTATACAAAGGGAAAGGTTTAAAATGTAAGGTAATTTTTTATTTTTGCAGAAAGAAGGTTTTGAGATGTTTTAAAAAGTAGAGCATTTAAGTCTATGCCTCATTGTAAGTTTTAAAATTATTTACAAATATGCAATCTATCTTTTGTTGCTTATTTTAATATTTCAAAGAAAAAGATTTCATCGTGCAAGTTCTAAATTTTTGTGTTGCTAAGGGCAAGAGGTGGTCTTCCTAACGATGTCTTATCAATAATTGAAAAGTTTGTATTTCATCTTCTCAAATTTCTGGAAAAAAATTCTTCTCAAAGTTTCATTTAAATAAACTTTCATCTTCTCGGTATATAACTAATTATTATTTAAGATTCTTTTCGTATAAGTTTTAAGATGAAAGTTATGTAATATTAATTTTAATTTTTGGTTTTAATATTATTTTATTAAATTTTATTTAATCTTCCTTAATTAAACAAAGCTTAAATAAGCTTTCGTTGTAACATATGATATATTATAATTTATATTGAAGTATATATTTTAACTAAACCAAAATTATGAATTAATCTAAAAGTATGTATTTATACACCTAAGTAATCTCTTTTTCATAAAAAGAGATATACTGTAGTACATAAATTCATTACACTCTTTACTAATCCTTCTAAAAATTTACTATGCATTATAAATCGCTGTGTGCGGATAAATTTACTAGTCCGTATAATAAATGCGTGTATGTAAACATCCATAATTAGATGTGTTTGCACCAATATATTGACTAACCACGAGGGATGCCCATTTATGCCGAGCCCCGACCAAAATTCTCAATAGAATTCAAAATTGAGGAAATTTATTTCCACTTATCGTTTTATTCAAACAGATTACAGAAAAAAGGCTGCCACTGACTCCATAGTGTCACACTGTTGTTCTAGCTGCGCCACTGCAGCACCTTCTCGCTTCTCTACGATGGCTTCTGAAAACCTTCCATGGATTCTGATTCTCTTCTTAGCCATTTCAAGCTCAGTTAGTCCTAGAATTGAAGCCATTGGGGTGAACTGGGGCACGGCAGCTTCACACCCTTTGCCTCCATCCAAAGTGGTGGAGCTCCTTAAGTCCAACGGTATAACCAAAGTAAAGCTCTTCGACACCAACCCGGATGTTCTGGAGTCACTCTCTGGTTCAAACATTGATGTCACTGTGGGCGTTCCCAATTCCATGCTTCGCAGCTTGAATTCCTCTTTCAAGGTTGCTCAGAGTTGGGTCCATGACAATCTCGCCCGCTACTTTTCTGATGGACTCCGAATAGAGTACAATCTCATTACGCACTTTATTTTCTTTTAAATTTTATATATATGAAGATGTTTTATTGATACTTAGTTTAATAGTATGTTATTTGACCTGTGTACTATGTTAGTGGTAGTGTAAAGACAGTTTAAAATAGTAGTTGAAAAATTAGTTTGATAAGAGAAAAAAAAAATCTAAGTTCACAATTGGAATAGTTGAATGAATTTAAGTTCTTTGTTTACCGTTAATGAATTCAAATATCTGAAAGTTGTGAAAATTCTAAAGAGCAATATTATTTAATGGAGTAGGGTCAAAGATTTTGGGATTTATTCATACGGAAAGAGTATCGTATATATTGCATTGGAGGGAGTCTTAATGCTTTTACAAGTAATTAGTTGCTCTTCCTGGTTCCTGCTACTTTAGTTTCTCATTTCATCCTTAAATGCCGTTTCTAGTATCTGACTGTGAGTTGAGGTGAGAATTTGGTAAATATGTTCTTTCGTGCCCAAGTTTCTGGATAGTTGCAACAAGTGTTTGATTCTTTCATACTTTTCTGGTCCTTCTATTGAATGTTATCTCTCTATGCCTTCGAGAGATGACACGTGAACTTAAGTAAATTAGGTGGAATTCTTTGAGGCAAGAAGTTTTGCCTTTACTGGCATCAATCAATCATTTTGCATTAGACAAAATAGGAAAAAGAACACATGAGCTTGATGAAGGGCACTTAAGCTGATTCTATCACATAAAATTCCCACTTCAATAGTAAGTTTATTACACTTGAGCAGGTTGCTTCAAGACTCAGCCACGTTCCACCAAAACACTAATACAGTATGTCCAAATGTCCAACCGATGTTGCAGCTATGTTATTAACTTTGTACAGTCAAAATGATGCTTACTAACTATAACACCTCAGAGTCAGACTTTAGACAGAGTCGCGTATCGATAAAACATAAGAGGGATGCTGGGTATATAAGTTAACAAGTCTTAGACCCTAGTGACGCGTTTTAAACCTGTGAGGGCCTAGGCCTAGAGCAGACAATATCACTAGTGGGCTAGATTGTTACAAATGGTATCAGAGCCACTCATGTGTCTGCTTTGTCGATAGTGGGTCAGAGTTCAATTGAGTTTAGGCAAATCCCGGTTAGGCGGGGCAAACCTTAGTGCTAGCGGGCTGGACTGTTACACTAACAAATAGCAAAGCATCATTATATGTCGCCTTATTATTTAGGTGGATAAATCTAAAAGTATGTTGTCAATTTGTCATAATGTACTGGCTTTAGAGAAACATGGACCTTTTCTGTGAATAAAGAAGGTTGGAAATTGCCATTGCATTTTCTTTCTGTAAATTTCCACATTGTAGATGGCAAAGATCTCTTTCCGCATGGGTATAGAATCCATAAAGCTTTAGTGTTTCTTCATTTGTCTCTTTTCCTTTTCTAGAACTTGTTATTTTTTCTGGCGGGGACCTTGGGGTTGGGGTGGGGGGAGAATCACTTGTGGCTAGGTATCTTGAAATGCTTTCTTTAACTGCAATGTCAATACGATCATCTATGTTTTCTAATCTTGAGAGGACTTATAAGTTAACTTTGTCATAAATAAGGAGAGATCTTAATGGCTGCCGAAAGGCAAAAAGTTTTATGTTATGCAGGATGCCATTTAGTGGTCTAGACATAAGCAAATAGTTGTTAGAGACATCCCTTCTTTTGCCTTTGATTCCATTTTCTGTTCTGTTCATTTTCTCGATTGCTGTTATTTGTTCATGCATGTGATCTGGTATGATCTCTTTCCGTAATATGCCTATGTCATGGTGTGTCTTAATTCTTAATGATTTTTACTAGTGCAGTCAAGAGTTTGTCCACCAGAATGTCGTAATTGACTGAGCTATTATTTCGCTGTTGCCATATGATTTTCACCTTCATAAATTTGCTCCTTAGACTTGCGATACCAACACGTACAAAAATACTTGCTTCTTTACTTTTTGCATACAACTTCTTTCCCAATCTCCTTTTCGTCTTATGGCTTGTCAATCCTTCACAAAGTACTAAGGACTTCTTTTGATTTGATGGAATACATGAAATAATCATGGTATATAATTTGGTATTGCTTTATCCAATGTTTGATTTGTATTTTGAATCATGTACAACGACTCCTGGTATAATTCAATACACCAATTGGTGTATTATTTTATATACTTATCCATGTATAACTTTTATATGGCAAATAAATTAATAGAATGCTTATCCATGTAAAACATGTACATGGATAAAACACTAAAAGAACAAAGCTACCTTTGTCTTTTTCCTAGAAGCCTATGAAGGTCAAGCATCCAAAGGTATAATTGTAAACTCATTACTTTTTAATGCAATGAACCAAACACCCAAAAAAGAAATTATCCCATATTACTAATTTGTGTATTGCTAATCCCTGTATTATAATCCCGGTAGAACTTGTCTTCGAACCAAACGACCCCTAAATGTTAGCAATCTTGTTGTGAGAAACTTAATTCAAGAGCATGTCAAATATGGGAATCACCAGAATCCTAGACTAATGAAACCTCCAAAAAATTTCAAGCTTCAACTAGTAGAAGCTAAAGATTATCAAGCTCTACCAGTACCAATAGGCATTCTGCTGACTTCTGTGCAACCATTTGTGGTGAAGACAATTCACTCAATTAGAGATTTAGCTAATGCTGGAGGAGTTTTGCTAAATCTCATTGCCACACAAGTTTAATAGGTGGAAGAGAGAATTAGCTTTTTAGTAGTGTTCATAAGCTCCCTCGACAGAGGAAAATGCTTCAAGCCCCAAACTGTGAGTTATGTGCTCATGAAGTTAGATGACGTTAATCTGGTTGATGCTTGTTCTGTGTAGAGGCTGGTGATAATTGGTAGTGAAGCCCACAATTGGAAGCAATTGCTGCTTTGGTCATTCAGTTGACTTACCCCGTGCTTGTTGGCATGCTGGCAAACGTAGGGGTTTCGTTGATTTTACCTACTACATAAAATAATGTTTGCAAAATCTTGTTTATAATTTTTATTGCAATCGATAAATCATCGTAAGAAAGCAAACCCTGAAGAAGGGAGTGATGACTTGATTGGTCATGTGGCCTATTGAAGTACATATAACCCAACCTCAGAAGCAAGGGGCTGACAAATAAAAGGGTCCTTTCGTTGCAAATAAGACTAGAATTCAATCTTTTGACATTGTGTAATGTTGGTTTTTTGTCCTTGAGGAAGAAACTGTAACTGTTTTTTTTTCTTTTCAAATAGCATTCCATATCTGTTGCCATAATTTCCTTTGAAAAATTGAATGAGGATATTTCTGTTGAACACTTCACTTTATATGTTTACACACTTCATTTTGTAAGGTATATCGCCATTGGGGATGAACCGTTCAATCACGTTTATGGTGACCAGTTCTTTCCTTTTGTTGTTGGAGCAGCTGAGAATATCCAAACAGCATTGACCAAAGCTAAGCTGGCTGGCAGGGTGAAGCTAGTAGTTCCGTGCAGTTTTGATGCCTTCCAGTCAGAATCTGGTCTACCATCAAAGGGACATTTCAGAGCAGATGTAAATAGAACAATGTCTGAACTCCTCAAATTTCTTACTAAGCATCAATCTCCTTTCTTTGTTAACATTTCACCCTTCCTAAGTTATCATAATAACAAGAACATTTCCCTCGATTTTGCTCTCTTCAAAGAAACTGCTCGCCCTCGTAAGGACAGTCGCAGAACCTACAAGAACAGCTTTGACTTGAGTTATGATACCCTTGTTTCAGCTTTATCCTCTGCTGGCTCTGATAAGATGGATATAGTCATTGGGCAGATTGGTTGGCCAACGGATGGAGCTGCCAGTGCTACCTCATCCAATGCTCAGGTATTCATGAAAAAATTCCTGGAACATCTTCATAGCAGATCAGGAACACCGTTAAGGCCTAAAGAACCACCAATCGAGACCTATATCCTTAGCCTTTTGGATGAAGATAATAGAAGCATCGCCACTGGAAATTTTGAAAGATACTGGGGTGTGTTTACATTTGATGGCCAGGCCAAGTACCAACTTGATCTGGGGCAAGGCTCAAGAAAACTGGTAAATGCCCAAAATGTCCAGTACCTTTCGTCCAAATGGTGTCTTGTGAATAACAACCAAAACTTGTCCAATGCAACTACACGGGCTTTGGAGGCATGTTCTTCTGCTGACTGCAGTGCTCTGTCACCTGGAGCTTCTTGTTTTAACCTCAGCTGGCCTGGAAATATTTCTTATGCTTTTAATAGCTATTATCAACAACATGATCAAAGGGTCGATAGTTGCGACTTTGGTGGGTTGGGCTTGATTACTACAGTTGATCCCTCAGTGGGTACTTGCAGATTTATAGTTCAACTAAGCACATCCAATTCAGCGAGTTTCTTTATTTCCCATTGGAGGATTACAGCAGCAAGCATTTTGTTATGGCTGGTTGGTGGAGGATTTTGATGGAAAGGGGAACTGTAAATTTTTGTTTTCTGACTTGTTCAATTCAGCACTCCTGCAAACTTTTTTTGCATTTTGTAGAATTACGTCTGGAATTCATTATGTTGATGAGGCCTGTGGTTTTGATTCTTGTTTTTTGAGGATGTGTAATTTTGTCCTAATCTCTTCTTTGTTGCTTTCATCAAGGCTCATCTTATACGTACGGAGGTTTATGGTTTGAAGTTTAAACCAGATTAATATGGAATGGATGGTGCGTTTCCTTCTTGGTCAGTAAGTTAAAAAATTGTTGTTCAGAGAGCTATTGACATTCCAACTCACAGGATTGAGGACATTGTGTGAGGCACCAAGGTAGGTCTTGTTGTGTTCTATAGAGCATTTTAGACTCCAGGATGGAGCTTCTCTTGCAGATAGTGAGGAAAAGCATACATCCTTTCTCCAATGTTTCAAAATTATTTGCACGGAGTTGGGCATTTAGTTTATAGAGACATACATCCGGCAAAACAAACAGATTTTGGGCACTAGTAGAAAGAAAGCACTACAGCTAAATGAGAATTACTCTTACCCACCTAATATTTGGAGTCTTGGATTTGTATTTTGCAAGCCTATAACGATGAGAGCGCAACACATCATATGTGAGTTAGACATATCTTATGATTNCCATCAGTGAGATACCACTATGAAAGAGCTAGAATTCTAACCTTGTGCCATACACAACTGACTCTCAAGTTTCTCAATTATAAGAAAAATTGAATTTATCCCGCAACATTTCATTGGTCTTTCTTTTCTTTTATTTTCTTCTTCATTTCCTGCTTTTCATGTTGTCTTCCCCTTATGTTTTGGAAGGGAAACACCATCATTGTATTCCACCAACAAGGCAACAATCGAGATTGAATTTGCCTTTCTAAGCATTTAAAAATAGCAATTATCCTTCATAACTAAAGGGGTCTACTTGTCTTTCGGTTTGCATATTTACAATCATATTGTTTTAGTGGTCGCCAAACACTTTTTCTTCTTTCTTTACCATGCATATTTTCCCCTTCCTTTCTCTTTTACTTTTTTATTTTCTTTCCAAAGAAGAAATGAAAAGTATGATATTAGTTGATGGGTTACCCCAGGTCTATACTACGATCCTGTACAATTCCTTCTTCCTTTTTTTCTTCATTTTTCCTGCTCTACTTCCTGCTAGAATTTGACTGGTAATCACACCGGCCATAGAGTCCATCACCTTCATGGTATGCAGTTACATATCAACTTCAATGCTTGTCCACCCCCTTTTGATCACTTTTCTTCCTCGGTTAAAAACTTATTGATCTTATTTAGTGTTTAAATTGTAAATGTATACACCAAATTTGTGTTGCTTTATTTCCATTCAGCATTTTTATAAAACAGTATAGAACAGCCTTCATTATTGACAGCCTAATTAGTAATTTTTGAAGCAAGAAGGCCAACATACTACAAGCAGACTGACCTGATATTGTCAGCGAAAGCAGAATGACCCTACATCATCCAATACCCTTGAGACAAAGTTCAATATTGCTGGCATGAGAAAGTAATTATAATGGCAATACATACATAAAGCAAAATGTCTTTAAGCAGAAAGTATGAAAGATGACAATATACGCTTTATACCCTGTCAATAATTATAATACAGATTAAGGAAGAGGGGATTGAAAATGTAACACAAATAGAAAAGAGCAAAAGAAAAGTTTCTCCTATGATTAAGTATGTCAATCTACGAATAGGATTGCAAATGTAAGTACAAATAGAAAGAGCAAAAGAGAAGTTCTATCCTATGGTTAATTATACCAATCAAGGAAGAGGATTGAAAATGTAAGCACAAATAGAAAGAGCAAAAGAAAAGTTCTGCTACTGCTGTTCCGTTGAATGGCTTGCGACAGTTCTTTGTTACCAAGTTCCACATTCTTGGTTGCTTCAACTGCCTGAAACGAAAAACCATAAGTTCACACAAACTTATAGAACAATGAAAGATCCGTAGATCGTGATATTTGTTAGTTCTACAAGTAAATGGTTACACATGGGAAAGTTAATATAGAAAATGAAGAGATTGTCAGAATTATTTAAACAAAAGAGAGAAAATGACTTTCTTGTTATGTTAACAAGTTAGAAGTTCTATCCAACTGGAAACTAAAAAAGCTACAGTATTGCTAACCTGCTCATATAATAGCTCTATCTGTTGGGCCTGTTGCAAAACATGAGTTGACATAAGATGGTTCAACGCAGACATTTCCACCATCTTTGTTTCTATTTCTTGAACAGAATCCAGGAGACTGTTCAGCTCTACCTGCATCATGTGAGTAAGGTAAGAGTACGGGAAAGTACATTGTGATTTTAGCCTTCACATGTTGCTTGTTTGCCGGAACTAAATCCTCTAGCAGCAAACTTCCCACTTACCTGGAGGGCACGCGTTTCATCGTCCAAAAGTTGTTCTTGGACTCTAACAGGTGCTGCTTGTGAAATATCAGAGTCCCTGATCTCTGAGTCCCTTTTCATGTCGGGGTCCAAACTACTAGACACAGAGGTCTCTGCAGCATTTGATTTGGTAGAGTTCTTCCGTTTCCTTCTTGGTGTTACTCGGTTAATAGCATCTTGAAAGCGTATTGCCCGCAACTGGTCAAACTGTGACGTGACAGAGTGAAGCTTTTCACTTAAAATTAAAACCTACAGCAAAAAAGCAAACAAAGATTATAGGAATATGCATCAAGACTACTTTCAAATTCCTCAGCACTCTATTATATATTCTCTAAAAGATCTGCTTAGAAAACATCTCCCACTTCATTCTTAGTGGGCAGCAAGTGGTGGCACTGGAAAACGGGTACAGGAAAGTAGAAACAGTTTTAGAACTGTTTTAACTGAATACATACTGTAGCATAGGTTGAAAAAGTATATTTTCAGTGTCAAAAGGTAAGTTAATAATCAGCACAATCTAGCGAGTTTAATTACACTATCTCAGTGATATTGTTGTGCAGATCGCAGACAGCACATAAAACATCCCTTTCCATGACGAAAAATTTCGTGGAGAACAATCTCAGATAGTAGAGATCCACAAATTTAAGATAGGACGGTGGATACTCTCCCAGTGGAATCACACTAAAGACAACCAACTGAAGTAGTTCCCCCAACATCAGAGGTCACTTCAATAATTTCTCAACATTAAACAGGCTATTTATAGAAAGTACGAAACACCTGCAGAGAGTTGAGGAGAAAGTATTGTGAAATGGCAACTATGATACCATTGTGCCAATTGCAGAACAATCACAACATACATCAACTTTCCAAATAGCAAAATGAAAATAAATCTTTAACTCAAATAATCTAAAATAAGCACACAGATGCAAGAGTTTTAGAAAAGTCACATCAAAGACACAGAAAAAGGACAGCCCGGTACACTAAGCTCCCGCTATGCGCGGGATCCGGAGAAGGGCCGGACCACAAGGGTCTATTGTACGCAACCTTACCCTGCATTTCTGCAAGAGGTTGTTCCCACGGCTCGACCCATGACTTCCTAGTCACATGGAAGCAACTTTACCAACTACGCCAAGGCTCTCCTTCTCACATCAAAGACATCAATTTTAAAATAAAAAAAATAAAAAAAAATAAAAAAAACCCTAACATCACATGCCATCCAATAGTTTCTTTAATTCAAAGAGTATCCATGAAGTTACTTCATAATTTCCTAATACCAGCAGAAAATGGGGAGAAGATGCTTCATAAAGCAATCATAACCAGCAGTTATAAGGATATTTGATGACTATATTGTATGTAGCGACCATACCACTCCATGCTTGTGTGCTATAGTATCAGCATTCAGATTGTCACCCTTGAATCCAAGCCATCCCTTTGAATGTGCATTTTCCTCATTTATACTATTCTTGAGAACATCTATTTGCTCTTTGCATGATTTTACAAAAACAGTAACCTGCAGAAGTTGTGTTAGTAAAAATCCTTCTAATTCTTTTTCTTTTTTTCCAATTCAAATTTCATAGTCTCAACTAAGTGCATTTGCACTTTTGCAATCACACNATAATCAATTATAAGGATATTTGATGACTATATTGTATGTAGCGACCATACCACTCCATGCTTGTGTGCTATAGTATCAGCATTCAGATTGTCACCCTTGAATCCAAGCCATCCCTTTGAATGTGCATTTTCCTCATTTATACTATTCTTGAGAACATCTATTTGCTCTTTGCATGATTTTACAAAAACAGTAACCTGCAGAAGTTGTGTTAGTAAAAATCCTTCTAATTCTTTTTCTTTTTTTCCAATTCAAATTTCATAGTCTCAACTAAGTGCATTTGCACTTTTGCAATCACACACAAAGCTGCAGAAGGAGCATTAAACACAAAGGTGACAAGGAGCACTTTCTCGAGACTCAAAAACTAATCAAAACATCAAACTTGACAAAGCAGGAAAAGCAGACAAAAATTTACCTTGTAAATAAAGATGTAGTTTTCATCAGAAGTTGACTATATAAGAAAGATAGGAAATCAAAGAACAGCGATCTTCATTGCAATAGTGTCAATTCTGTAGGTCATAGTTTATGGTCTAACTTGGAATTAGAAGTACTGTGAGACCAATTCAATTTCCACTGGCTTCATCCTTCAATTCTCTTCGTTATTTTTCAAGATTTTATATTACTTACTGCAACAACAACAACAACAACAACAACAACAACAACCCAGTAAAAATACCACAAGTGAGGTCTGGGGAGGGTAGAGTGTACTGTTTCCGAGAGACCCTCGGCTCAAGATTTTATATTACTGACTGCACTGAACTTAATATTGTTTGTAGGATATTACAAAAAATTTAAGCAATATAAGAAAGCTAACAAGTTCGTTACAACATACAAGATCAAACTTTAGAAAAATGTTCAACGTGTGTCACGACCAACTCATTCCATCACAAGCCTGGTTTTTCACATCATAAATGTGGGCCAACCCGAAAGCACTTAGTAGTCCGGTAAGCTACTCAACAATTACTTAAGGTCCAGGAGGAGTAGTTTGGAATTCTAATTCCATGAATTGCGAATTGAGGTTTACAACTCTCTACCCACCCACTACTACCCCTAGTCGTCCATGCCACTCAAACCAAAGATAAGATAAATCTTTTTTGGAGAGGTATTTTGCTATATTTACTTTTTTTACTAGATTTGTACTCAAAACGAAGTAAAGTATGGTCTCTTTTCATAAGATTATTATGGCTTTTACACCAATTGATTTAATTCTAAATATTTTTAGAAAAACTATGTACTGCAAGATTAGCGCCTATAAGAAGATCGAATGTAAAGTGAGATTGGAAGAGATAGTGGTGCCTAAATGCAGACAATTTAGATATATAGACTGAGTTTTCCAAAAGAATGGCATGAGAGATAAACATGTACCACATAAAAGTAGTTTAGGTGGTCGAAATAGAAGAGTGCTACAAGAGATTTATGTACTAGATGATATTTAACAAAGTGAAAGGCTAATTCTCTAGAATGATTCTTAGACCAGAAATATTATATGGAAGTAAATGTTGAGTCTCAAATGCTAACATGTCCCCAAGAAGACTGTCGTAAATATGCATAAATTAAGATGAATGTGCATCACACAAAATTGGACAAGATCATCAATTACCACGTCGGGATGCAAGTAGCATACACAGAAGGATAAAATAAGAGAATGTCATCCGAGATGATTTGACCATGCCTACATAAACCTCCGAAAGCACCAGTCCATAGAAGCGATACTATGAAAGTTGAAAGTTCTAAAAGGTATGTGGTAGACTAGAATCATGTGGTAAAAATATAACATAATGAAAGGAAACGATCCATACAGGCGATACCAGCTGATTACGATTAAGGCTCGTTGTTCCAAGACTTATATTTGGACAGGGTCGGGATACGTGTGAGAGTTAGAGAATAATTAACTATAGATAACTCCTAATTTGCCTTAGAAGACACATTATGTACAAGTATTAGATAAAATGGGTCCGGATACAGCAAACTAGATTAAGACATTCCTATTGCTATTCAAACTAGTTTGGAATTGAAGAATGATTGATATGTTATTAAATTAAAAGGGAGCAAATCACCGCTGATTAACGGATAAACTGTATGATTATCTCAAACATGTAAACATGTAACGGATAATCCTAACTCCACTTTCACCCTGAAGCCTGTAAACCTAGAGATACATACTATTATAACAATCACATTATTAGTTCCATTATTATTTTCATCTTTAACACACTTGCTCATAATGCCTGCAATTGGACAAACTTATGATATGGCCTTATCCTATTTGCAAACCGAAATAAATGTTTGTTCTCATCAGTATATATTTTATAATGAAGCATCACACAACAAGAATAAATATATTCAGGAGTCCAACATCGCAGCAAGTAGAATATATAACTAACTGTCATGTTTTGAAATAACAGAGAGAACAAAAAAAGAAGGGAAGACACAGACATCAAGTATGTACTCTTACTTCATGCTCAATGCTATCCCTCTCTTGTTCTGTTGTACGGTGCAAATCAACATAATCCTTTTTGTGTTTCATCAAAAATTGCTCCAGAGCCCCAATGCTCTCCAGCTGACAAATGAGAATTTTTTTAAAAAAGTTTTTGCACTGATTTACTTATCAATGAATAATCCAAGCACAAGCAACATAAGAAAAGAAGATAAGCATTAGGTGTAAACAACATACCGTTTTAACCGCAGCTCTAGTGAATCCTGACCTTTGCCGAGGTTTATGCATGATAAAAGATGCTAATAACGCAGCTGTTTTGGACTGTCAGCAAAGATCTAAACTCAGATGATATATAAGCTAAGACCTGATGGAGCATGCCACAGGCTAAAAAATAACACACGGCAAATTTTATGTTCTTTTTTTCTTCCAACGTGGATATACTGTTGAAGTTCAATTTATATGGAATACTAGCTCGCATGCAAACAAGAGAAAAGTTGCAAATTCATTTGTCAGATTAAATATAAAAACAGAGACTCTGATCCACGGACAGCATAACAATTGATTCATAAGGAGGTTATGAAGCTATATGCACGACCAGAGCCTACACCAGAGGCAAAGGACAGTAGGGATCAGATAAGCATGAAGATTCTTCAAGACAATTCATAATACGCAACATAATTCTTTCGGACTAAGAAAAGAGAAAAGCAATGAACTGAATAAGTCAAATGTACCTCATCATATCCCAAAGACAATGCTGAACGACGTGCAGCATCTTTAAAATCTTCCGTTCTGTCTCTAATTTTTGACATTCCTTCGAATTGCAGGAGAAGATTCAGAAGACTTCTCCCACAATCAAATGATGCAGTTTTAATGGTATATAGTGATTTGGTATATCAGGCAAAAATCCAAAGATATTATTCCTCCCACATTAATCTATACAAGAAAATGAAATCAGCAAGCTCCAATTCATCAACTACAATCTCATGTCTAACAACTTATAATCAGAAAACAGAAACAATACAAGTAGTTGGAGATATTAGTTGTCAAGTTCTCTAATAAATCAATCCTGATAAAAATAATTATACTAACCTTACTGATGGCCAGTGTGGATGGACTGAATTAAATTTAAGGGATATTACAACTTAATTGATTTCAAATGCTTAGATCCTGGAGGAATTTTAATGAACGGGCCTAGATGAAATTGATCAGTTATTACACTCTTTGGAACCGGGTCTCAGATCTGGTTAGCAGGTAATGATGGCAAAAAAATTTAGTTAAAAGTTGATCAATTATTACATTCACATTCTTTTATATTGTGGCCTGCTTTACTTTGCACTGACCGAAAATTATTGTAACTGGCTGGAAATGGAACTGAAAGAGTAATAAACAGGAAATAAGAAAAATAAAGCAAAAGGAACAATTTCATTGTATAAACCCTATTACAATCATGTATATAAGCCCACTGAGCTCGTGAACATTATATAACAAACTGACAACAACAACAACCCAGTATAATCCCACTTAGTGGGGTCTGGGGAGGGTAGTGTGTACGCAGATCTTACCCCTACCCTGGGGTAGAGAGGTTGTTTCCAAATAGACCCTCGGCATCCTTCCCTCCATGAACTTCTCACATTGCTCTGGGGGAGACTCGAACTCACAACCTCTTGGTTGGAAGTGGAGGTTGCTTACCATCAGAGCAACCCCTCTTGTCAACAATTTTCGAAATTGATTACAACTATACTCACAAAAGTCATTGTAAACCTCAAAATCGAAGCAATTGTAAGAATGGATGTTCTCATGAAAATCGCACATAAAATTAGAAATTGAAGCTCAGGCTATTTTGTGCGGTGAGAGCAGAACTAAAGCATTGTAATCCAATATATATGGTACATTACGACAACAAAACACGGGAAAAGTGCATCAAGAGCAAAGGGCAGAGATCGCAATTGACAAAGAAATAACTTACAACTTGAATTTCGCCGCCGAAAGAGCAAACTCACCACCGCCGGCGACCACTATCTACTTCGGCCGAACTGGAGTAGTTCGAAATTGACTCCTTCGTTCGCGATCCAACCCGCAAGAAAGGAAAAACTCCCTCAAAATATTCATTTCTCTTTTGTTAAGAAATTAATAATTAATTAGGAGAGGTTTTAGACTATTTTACCCTATTTATATCTCAAGTTATAATCTCTATTTATTGAATTTTTACTCTATTTATATATTATTTTAATTTTCAAGAACAATTACTATTAAAAGCAAAATAAAAAAATTACAATTTATTTTATCTTAAACTTCTAAAATGACAAATAATTTGAGACAGCTATTTTTAAAACCACGACAAATAATTTGAGACAAATGAAGTAATAAAATGAATAAAAAGAGGAAATGCCTTCTCACTTTTATTAAAAAGGTATTTTAAATTTGTAACGCTGATAAGTTCCATTTTTTTAAAAAGAATTTGTCACACCCTTTTTTTTTACCTCTCTAACCCCCTTTAAATAAATAATAAAGTGGTTTTTAAAGCTCGAAAGGGTTTTCAATTTGAAAGAGTGACCAAAAGATTGCGTTTTGAAGGATTTTTCTGATTCGCCACCTGACATTTGATTTCGGTGTGCCAGGTTACCGTTTTTTTTTTTTAAATAAAAATTTTCCTTCAAAACTCATTTGGACTCTAAAAACCAATTTGCACCAGAGTTCTAGGTAAGGGGGTTCATTTGACTCGGGGAGAAGGTTTTAGGCATTTTCGATTCCCGTGAAAGTCACGATTACGTACTCGATCTAGTTGGCTTTTAAAATATTCAAATTAAGGTAAAAACACAAAAATGAAAAATAAACACAGAAGAGGCTCGAGATCGTCCCCACCTAATAAAGTAAAACAAACAAAATAAAATAAGTCTTACTATCCTATCTTATGCCTCCACCGATAATGCCACGGCCTCTATTTACATTCACTTCGGGGTATACCCCTAAATAAAAATATATACAGAATCTACGAGACATTCCTAACGACCTTTCACCTCGAATCAAACGAAAGTCCTAAAGATTGCCCACCCAGGTGAGGTCGGCCTAAACATGCCACTAGCGGATAATATAACAAAGTAAACAAATAAAAGAGAACTAAAGCATGTAAACAATTTAATTATTTTTGTCTTTTCCCCATTCCCACGACCTCTAACAAACATTCCAGAAATAACAAATCCGTGTCCGACCAACCAATCAGTGAAATAAACATCTAACAAAAGTCCAACCATTCGAAGAAAACAGAAGGTTGCCAACAAAGTTGCCATTGGTAACATATCTATAGATCTTATCATTTGCTTGACATACTTTTAAATTTGTGTTACTAAATGTAATGTCACAGCTTGCTAACACATCCACGATGTGGTGAAATTCAATTTTTCTTCTTACAAACTTAACGGATCCAATCATAGACCAAAATACCAAGAACATTTAACCTTCTTATATTTTCTAAATTCAAGAGTGCAATTACATGGATTACTAAAACCATTATGAAAGAACAGGGGACTTCCAAGAATTACTTAATTGATTTTGTCACAAATATAATGATTCCATCCTACTCTAATCTAAGAGAATATTGAGACCTTTACCCCTTTTTTTAGAATTTAAACCGAAAGGAGGGAGGTTAAATCATGGCTATTATTTCCCTAGTGAATCAACTTCGGACATTCAGCACAAATTCAACACAATAAAAAATTAAATGCAAAAGGCATTGATTCATATAACGAACACATATGAAATCAACAAACAACTAAGAGAATAGGCCAGCAACATATTTCAATCACAATCACGAAAGTAACATTATAAATAACAGAGAAGAGGAAAGATGAACTTGAATTGCTTTCTAATATATTTGAATCTCTGACGATTACAACTTAATGAGGATTCCGAGATTGAACTCGAAAGGAAGATGAAAAACAACAGGTAACAACAACGAGCAGGGACCGCGAACCAGTAACAAAACTCGAACGGCGCCGGAAAACTAGAGCGACCCAAACTCAAATTTCAATTAAACTCCATTTTCATGTGATAATCATTCTGCAGCTTTTACTTCAACAAATTTGACAGCCACAAAGTGCTCATATTTATTTTTATGTTTTGAAATTGAGGAAGATACGAGGAAGGGCCGGGTCAATTTTCTGTCGGCATCATCGGGGGCTATCGCTTGTATTTGAGGAAGAGATTTGTTTTTAAAATTTTCTTCTTTTGTTTATTGAGGGGTAGAGCGGTTGTTATGGTGACTGAGGAGCAGAAGATCGACTCTCAATCGTTTTCTTTTTTAGAGTTGCTGCCCGAATTTTCTATCCAATTTTCCCCTCTCTTTCTCGCTATCTATGTGTGTGTGTTTCTGGCAGGTTGTGGTGAAGGGAAGAAGGGAGTAGCGATGGGTGTTGGAGGCTAGGTTGAAGAGGGGTTAGGCTGGGCGGCTAAGAGAGTGAGGGAGGAGAGGCTGGTTCGTTCTCTCGACGGATCTGGGGAGTGGGGTGTTAAATTTTTGGGCCTAGACTTGAATTGGGCTCTAAAATTTTACAAAATTGGGCCAAAAAAAAGCTGAAAATTCAAATTACTTCTAAATTAATATAAAAGAAATTTTTTCATAAATCACTATCTTTTAGTGGTAATTAGCTATCTATAGATACCATTTGCTATATTACAGATTGTAGATACGTTTTCTATTGTTATAAAATGTATTTAAGGTATTGTATTCATGAATACAATAGCAAAAATAGGCGTGAATCGGGGAAGTCCAGCTAATCAGTTGTTATATTCGAGTGTATTCGACTGTATTCATGGCGTGAAATATGGGATTAGAGCTGGACAGATTATTGTATTCGACTGTATTCACGGCGTGAAACAGGGAATTACATCGTTTTTAAATGAAAAGTAAATCAATTAACACAATAAACTCCTACTATAACTCAACAAACTCAATTATAACACACAAATTTTGTATTTCCAGTTATAAAAAAGATTCTCAACCGAAAAACACCCCCAAAAACAGGGTCAGCTTTCAATTTTCAAGTTCGAGTCAGAGAGGCATCAGGAGCCCGCCTAAAGAACAGGGTCAACTTTCAGTTTACAAGTTCAAATCAGAGAGGCAGCGGGAGCCCGCCTGAAGAATAGGGTCAACTTTCGGTTTTCAAGATTCAAGTCAGAGACAACATGACCCCGCTTGGAGAATATGGGCAACCTCCAGTTTTTCAATTCAAATCAGAAGTAGCACGAGCCACCTGAAGAACAAGGTTTACAAGCCCAAGTCTACTCCAAGTTCAAGTTTATTTCAAGTGCAAGCAGCAGGATGCTTGCCTGAAGAACAGGGCCAACTTCCAGTTTTCTTCAAATCCAAGTCAACGGGATGCCCACCGGAAGAATATGGTGAATTTTCAATTTCATATTAAAGGATCAAGTGGATATTCAAGGAAGATTCGAGACAAGAAGTAGATAGGATTTTGTATTTTTCTTTTATTTTTGTTGTAATATTTGCTTTCAATTTATGGTGTAATGGCAAGGACCGCGAACCAGAGTCTCGAACGGTACCTCACTTGACTCTCTCATACTCTCCAATACTCCATTACTTCATTCACTTCTGAACTACACGTGGTCTGATTCCTTTATAGCCAAGGATATGTAGGCAGCTCAGATACCAAGGCTCGATCACAATATTTTCTCAATCTTTATTTCGTTTTAAATAAGTGTCGGGTCAGAGTCAATTACATTACTTACTTAATTCTTTGCTCAAATACTCTTCGAGTTTTCAAGCAAAGAAGGACAGTTGTAAGCACGTAACTTTTAATCCACGCGATTTTTAAACATTATTTTTAGTATTCTTAGTATTTTAATATTTATTAGAATTTATAGATATTTTTATCTTCAGTTTTAGTTTTTAAAAATATAAAATTGAAAACACAAAAAATAAAAAAGATATAATTTTACTTTTCTATTTAATTAAGGTATTAGGTATTTTTAGAAAGATATATTACTTTTAACCTATTTTTATCCTAATATAATCTTCGAAAATACCAAAAGTAGTTTCAATTTTAATTTTTAGTTTTATTTTAATATTAATAGTTTATTAAAATCAATTAAAAGTTATTTTATATTTTTGATAGGTATTTTATATTGGAATTTTTACCTCCTATAGCAAAGGTTAACACAATTTATTTTAAATAAATACCATTTAAAAAAAATTATATTCTATAGATACATTTTAATATTTATAGCAAAATATTTAATTTTGGTTAGCTTCTAACCCTAAGCCACTAAATACGTTATTCAGTTACACTATTTTCTTTCTCTCTCTACTTTGATACATGTCATTCTCTTCCCCCATTCTCTGAAAAGACGATGCTCAATCTCAAAATTCCTCTCACCCACATCACATACGTTCTCTCCGGTCCCAATTTCTCCAATTCCATCAGAGCACAGATATATGTTACCACGTCAAATATATTGACATATGGTTTTGACAATTTGGACAGAGTCGATTCAGATTTTCTATGCTGCCGTAGAGGTTAGGCAAACATCCGTTCATCCAATCTCCGTCGGAAATTAGGCTGCCAGATTTTCTATGCTACCGGAAATTAGGCTTTGTTCTCTTCCATCCAATCTCAAAGTTTGGTGGATCCTGCTTCACAAGCCCAGTTCTTGATTTTCTATCGCGAATTATCTCTGACTTTCATCGTTTCTCTATTGGGAATTTTTCTGGGCTGATTGTTGTTTCTGAAGTTGGTGTGGGATTGAGGAAATTGGGGTTTGAAGAGTCGGGTGTGGAATTGTATTTCCATGTATTTCATTATATCCATTGTCTTTTTTCATTGTATTTCAATGTATCTCGTTGTATTCCATGTATTTCATCGCTGCTCCCTTCTTTCCTTCACCACAACCTGTCGGAAACACACACACACACATAGATAGCGAGAAAGAAGGGGGAAATTGGATAGAAAATTCGGGCAGCAACTCCGAAAAAGAAAACGATTGAGAGCCGATCTTCTGCTCCTCAATCACCATAACAACCGCTCTACCCCTCAATAAACAAAAGAAGAAAATTTTAAAAACAAATTTCTTCCTCAAATACAGGCGATAGCCCCCGATAATGCCGCCGGAAAATTGACCTGGTTGTTCTTGGTATCTTCCTCAATTTCAAAACATAAAAATAATATGAGCACTTTGTGGCTGTCAAATTCGTTGAAGTAAAAGCTGCAGAATATTATCACATGAAAATGGAGTTTAATTGAAATTTGAGTTTGGGTGGTGTTCGAGCTCTAGTTTTCCAGCGCCGTTCGAGTTTTGTTACTGGTTCGCGATCCCTACTCGATTTTGTTACCTGTTGTTTTACACCTTCCTTTCGAGTTCAATCGTCGGAATCCTCATTAAATTGTAATCGTCGGAGATTCAAATATATTGGAAAGCAATTCAGATTCATCTTTCCTCCTCTTCTCTGTTATTTACGATGTTACTTTCGTGGTTGTGATTGAAATATGTTGTTGGCCTATTCTCTTAGTTGTTTGTTGATTTCATATGTGTTCGTCAAGTTAGTTATATGAATCAGTGCCTTTTGCATTTAATGTTTTATTGTGTTGAATTTGTGCTGAATGTCCGAAAATTGATTCATTAAGGAAATAATAGCCATGATTTAACCTCCCTCCTTTCGGTTTAAATTCTAAAAAAATGGGGTAAAAGTCTCAATATTCTCCTAGATTATAGTAGGATGGAATCATTATATTTGTGACAGAAAATCAATTAAGTAATACTTGGAAGTCCCTTGTTCTTTCATAATGGTTTTAGTAATCATTATGAATTTTCTAGAGGATTTTAGCAAACACATTTCCTAGTCAAAATTTTCTTGGTTTTACTCGAAGGAGACACATATCCTAATCGAGTCTTTAGTTTTACTCTCATCATTGCAGACACCCACAAATTTTCTTGTGTCTCCTGCGAGTAAAACCAAGAAAATTTTGACTAGGAAATGTGTCTGCTAAAATAAAACTTGAATGACCCAAACTAGGAAGTGTGTCTCCAAGGGATGAAACTTGAATGATCCAAACTAGTAAATGCGTCTCCGGTGAAACTTGAATGACTCAAATTAGGAAGTGTGTCTCCTATGAGATTGAATTGGGCTTGATAAACAAAAAATCGACCATATTCTCCATGTGGGACCCCTGAACTCAAGAAAAACTAGAGATTAAGACTTAAGACGACCCTATTCTCCAGGTGGGACCTCTGAACTCAAGAAAAGCTAAAAATTAACAGCTTAAGAAAACTAAAAATTAACCCTATTCTCCGGGCGGGATCCTTGAACTCAAGGAAAACTAAAGATTAACAACTTAAGAAAATGAAAACCAACCATATTCTACCGACGGGACCCCTGAACTTAAGAAAAACTAAAGAATAACAACTTAAGAAAATTAAATTGACCCTATTATCCAGGCGGGACACCCTGAACTTAAGGAATGTAAAGATGAATTAAAACTGACCCTATTTTCCAGGCGGGACCCCTGAACTTAAGGAATGCTAAAGACTAACAACTTAAGAAAATTAAAAGCCGATCCTATTCTCCAGGTGGGACCTCTGAACTCAAGAAAAACTAGATTAACAACTTAAGGAAACTAAACACTGACTCTATTCTCCAGGCAGGACCCCTGAACTAAAGGAATGCTAAAGATTAACAACTTAAGAAAACTAAAAATTGACCCTATTCTCCGGGCGGGACCCCTGAACTCAAGGAAAACTAAAGATTAACCACTTAAGGAAATTAAAACTGACCATATTTTCCATGTGAGACCCCTGAATCTTAAGAAAAACTAAAGACTCTTCTGACTAGGGAGAATGCCTATGAGGTACGGTTCTTCTCAACTAGGAAAAATGCCTAGGAGTTAATGGTCTTCTCAAACAGGGAAAATTCTTGAGGAAATGATCTTCTCAACTAAGGGAATGCTTAGCAAGTAAAAACCTCCTCAAACAGCCTTTGTGCTGACAAAATTTGGGCACATCAACTGAAAAATTCAAGCTTCTGAGCTTTGATTTGGACATAGTCTTTGATCCTGTTTCAAACAAAGAAAACTTGTGAGTTTAAAACATGGTGGTTGGTTTGTGGCCTTGATCTTGAGGGCGATTGCTTCTTCACTTGCCATGATAACTTTGATTTCAACCTAGAAGACCTTGCTTGTTATTGGCTAACCATTTTTCTGTCAAATCTTATCACAGAGAACACCTCTGATCAGTTCAAGCCCAAATCCCTCAATTTGTTGCATTGTGCTCATGAATTGACATGTACCAAAATTTTGCATTTCACATGAATCCCAAAATACGTCAATTGTCACCAACTCAGTGCGCATACTGCTCTTTCTTCACTTATGCCGCTTTGATGTGTTAGACAGACTCCGCTTTGTGCAGTTCGAAAGGTGGTAGCAAATTTTGAAGTCATTTCTCACTTGTTCTTACCAAACAGACTCAAAAGAAGGACTTAAACAAAACAAGAGGAACATAATAAAGGGACCGTGGAAAGGGGTGATATCTAACTGGAAAACAACAAAGTAGAAACTTATCTGATATGGATACCAATTCTAATGATCATGACATGCATTTTGGATTGAGCGACATGATCTGTCCAGCAAATCTAATCTTCAACTCTTGTTATACCTTCAAGCTGTGAAACTAGCTTCAATGTTCCAATTGTCCTATTAGATTCACAATCCTTATTCTACTTGTGGTTCCCCCAATGGTTTTCACCATCAAGCCTCTCCCACTTTGTTTTTTCTCTCAACTAACTGTCGCCTTATGGTGTCCGTAAGGGTTTTCACCAATAAGACTCTCATTTTGTTCTTTTCTTCTTATTTCTTTCAGTTCTGTAGATGACAAGGCATTAACCATGGCAAAAATATCATATGCTCATGGCATGTCTAACTCGGTACTCTCAAAGATTATTTGGAAGATCTTTTTTTAGACTGTAATGTGGCTTGTGGACAAGGTTAGAAAGAAAGGATATCATAAAGGCTCAAAATAACTAAGAAAACATGGTTAATTTAATTACAACTTTTGGAATCCATTTTAAAAATTTTGCCTAGTTTCTAAAACAAGAGAATTTGATTTTTTTTAATTCTCTCTCGTATCCAATCTTCCCGAACTACGCATACCTGATTCTTGTCTTTCGGGGCGGGATACGTAGGCAGCCCACATAGGGTCCGGTCTTCCTAGCGAGTCTTAAGTTCATGGCTTCGGGGGTCGTAGCCAAATCTTGCATGTCTGGCCACTTTTGGCCACATCGGCCATTTTGCAAAGTGGCTTGTTGAACCGTGTCCATAGAGTCTTGAATCCACAATCAGCTTGCTCATAATTTTAAGGTCTGTCCTTGTTAAATTTGCATATCTAGCCGATTTTGGCCACCTCGACCGTTTTGCAAAATACGATCCCCAGCAAAGTCGCCAAAGCTGTCACACCCCTTTTTTAACCTCACTAACCCCTTTAAAATATAAAAAGTGATTTTTGAAGCTCAAAAGGGTTTTCAATTTTGAAAGTGACAAAAGATTGCGTTTCAGAGGATTTTTCAGAGTCGACACCTGACATTTGGTTTCGGTGTGCCAGGTCACCGTTTTTAAAATAACAATTTACCTTCATAACACATTTGACTCTTAAACCAGTTTGCACCAGAGATTTTAGGTAAGGGGGTTCATTTGACTTAGGTAGAAGGCGTTAGGCATTTCCTGAGTCCCTTAAAATTACGGTTACGTACATGATCTAGTCGGCTTTTGAGATATTCAAATTGAGGTGAAAGCACAGAAATAGAAAAATAAACACAAAAGAGGCCCGAGATCGTTCCCACATAATAAAAGAAAATAAAAAATAAAAATAAAAATAAAAGAATAGAATACTACAAATTCTACTTTGGCCTCCAATTACAGACCACGGGGCCTTCCCCGGAATAATATATCAGCAAGTCCTTCGGGGCATTCCGGAATAAATTTAACTAAAGGAACGACCTCTCGCCTCAAAAAGAATAAAACGTCCTAATATTGCCTACCCAGGTGTTGTCGGCCTAAACATGCTCCTAACGAATAATATCATCAATAAAGAAAATAAAAAGAACTAAATAAAAGAACAATTCAATTCATGCTCATGTTTTGTTTTTAACTTTTCATTTCTATTAGGCCGAGCCCAATACCTAAAGCATGGAATAAATTAGTTGCTAATGGGCTTCGGCCTTTCTACCCCTCCCCACGACCCCATAGTCATTCAAACAATTTCAAACCCGACAAAACCAATCTCAAATGATAAAATATCCAGAAAAGGCGTTCAAGAAGAGAAATACATGTAATATTACGTGCTAACAAATAGAAGACACAAATAAAATAACAGCATGAGACAAAATAGCAAATTGAGCTCAATGAACTTCCTCATCACAACATTCATTAATCTAACTCAGCAGGGCTCAAGGATGATATAATTAAATCAATTTAAGACGACTAAGTGAAGCCAACCACTGGAAACATAAAAGGACTAACCATAACAGCAGACAAGATATGCAAAAACAAGTCTGAATTAAACAAAGCTTCAATACACAAATCAACACAAAAAAACTAAAGCATAGGAGATTAAAAATAACCTGAGATTAGCTCTCCAATAAGGAAATTTCAGTGATTAACAGCACTGAGTCAAGCGAAATCGAGCGAATCCAGAATGGACGAATTCAACAGGATCTTTAAACAAAGACAACGAGCCACCACGGGAAACACGAACGACGACTCCAAATTTTGACACCTCCTCGGCTTTAGTCCATTTCGAGCAAAAATCTAGAAAAGAAATGGAATGTTTTCTTGTATTTTCTGATTTTTTGAAGTAACAATTGAAACTAAATAGAACTGATTTTTTTGTGTGGAGTTTTAAGCGAAAAAAAGAAAACAGAAGAAAGAAAATCGAAAATAGCAACCAATTTTTTCTTCAAAAATTTCTGCCCGATGCCGTTCTTCGAGTTGAGAAAGAGAGATCAAAGCTTCGTCTTTGGGAAGGGAGGGGAGGCTGATGTCGTTGGGAGCTAGGGTGGGGTACTGATTTTTCTCTTCTGGAGGTCGTTGGGCTGAAGCTTAGGCGATGGAGAGGAGGGAGTGTGGTTGTGCGGCGACGATCAGAAGGTGGGGGT